TGTAGCAGCAAACAGTGACTGTGACCCTGTGAATCCCCTAACTGCGCCTCTTTCTCTTCATAACTCTACTCCCGACAGTCGAATCAGAAGCATCGTCAGCATCTACGGCAGCTGTATAGACGTGGAGCTCCAGCAGAGGGCAGTTGAATACAACGCTCTTTTCAAAAAATATGACCACATGAGGTACTGAATGGAGTGGTTAGGTCAACATTTTCTACAAAATGAGATGTGGGGCTTATTTAGGCCTTTTATATATTGTCATTATAACCACTGAGGAATTTACTAAATAAAAATGTTTTTTTCTGACCAAAAGAGCTGAAATAGTCCTTCTTTTCACAGGGCAGCAGTGCTTGAGAGGATGCCCGTGATTGAAAAGAATTCACAGGGTCACACCAACGGGGAGACCATCAAGGAGAGTCAAACAGTCAAAGTCAAGCCAGGAGAGCCACAGCAGCCTGCTAACCAGGTACAAGGTGATGGGAAAAATTCAGTTAGGGTCACACTTTAGCCTGCTGGATAGATCAATCCCAGTGTCTGGGTCTGACCTCCTTTTTAAAGAGATCGCCCCTCTGGAGAATTTATTGTTTTAGTTTAGATTTCAAACTTAAGTTAATACTTGACCAAAGCAATAAGCTAACATAAAATTGCACATGTGATAGGGTAGGCTTTACTTCATTTTAGCTTGTCATTCTGTAATGGGCTGTGCATTAAAAATATTGGTTTCACATTAACTCCGCGACACTTTATGAACATTAGTGGTTGTGTTCTCAGATCCTTTGTTATAGTGGTATGTTTGCGGGCTTTTCTCTTGTCTGTTTTATTATGCAAATCAAATTCCAGTAAAGCTAAGTTTAACAGCTGTGGTCGGGTGTTAAGAATAAGGATTGAAACAAAATGGTTGGGTTTTATTCATTCAGCCAGTTTCATGTTTATCATAGTATTTTGGGACATTTTTCCAGAGCTGTTTTTAGATAAAGTTTATTCTGTTAAGCTGCCATTTGCATATGGATGCATCTGAATAATGTGCAGTCAGCTGGATTATCTCCTCCCCTCTGTGGTGTCTCTCAGGTGTGTGATCTGTTGGACCTGCTGGGTGGCTCTGAGCAGCCTCTGCAGCCCAGCCCGGCATTAGGCAGCGCAGCTCCTCCCATTCCTGTCAGCACACCCAACACTGTTGGAGGAGACCTCCTGGATCTGCTTGGAGGGTTAGAGCCCACTCCCATCACGCCAGGTCTGACCTTCACATATACACACAACGAACTACAGAAACAGGAAACAGGGCGTGATTTTTAGACACACAGCTAGAGAATTGGTTGAATCGGGTCACTGGATAATCTCTGGAATGTCACGATAATTAGTAGAAACCAGGTGGATAGGTTTGAATTGAAGTTTGCTCTTTAAGGGACTGATGCACTCTCCGTGGCTAAATACTGATTTTAAGCTAATGCAGCCTTCTACACTGTCTGTATTTTCCATAGTTGCCACGGTGACTGTGTATGAGAAGGACGGTGTGACTGTAACACTGGGTTGTGAGAAACAGTCCGATTCAGGCCTGACCGTCACACTCACCGCCTCCAACTCCACTGAGTCAGACATCAGAGGCTTCACCCTGCAGGCTGCAGTGCCCAAGGTTTGTATCAGTACCAGCAATAAAATCCTGCTAATCATCACTGATAGATGATTAAACTGCTGTTCAAGAGCCACCGTCTGCCACACATTTAACCAGTATGTGCGGATTATAGCAGGAGCGCAGTGGCTGCTGTGAGATTACTGTTTCTGAGGCTCTGAGATTTTTTTTGTGCAGCTTGTTTAGTAAAACCTTTAGAAGCAGGACCTCTGCATTTCTAATGTCCCGCCCTACAGCCCTACTGATAGGTGTCACTTTTAGCCCCTGTCACGTCTCATTGGTAAACACCAGTGCAGCAAATGGATTTGAACAACTTGTGTGGGTTTGGGTGCTTTCAACTTCAAAGCTTCATTTGATCCTCCTTCCAGAGTGTCCAGTTACACATGAAGGCCCCCAGTGGGGACTCTCTTCCTGCAAGAGGCGCAGCTAAAGTGACCCAGATGGTGGTCCTCAACAACCCCAATAAGGTGGCGTAAACACACACAAATAAAGCTGGTATTCACACACGCTTTTGAAATCACATGAAAAAGTAAGTACAAAGAATTTGTTGGCTTTTTTTTTTTTTGATAAATGTATTTCTCTTTGAAGCCTGTTTACATGGTCGAAGGTTTCTGATCAGTTATTCAACAGAATGTCAAGATATAATATTCATTTGTGTAAAAAGTAAATACACCATTGGCATCAGAAGTTAGTACTGCGCTTTTTAGCAGAAATAAAGTAAGCAATTGGCATATTTGCAACTAGTCTCTGAAGTTTTTGGTCTCTCTCTTCTCTCCTTCGGCTCCCAAAATATCTGAGGGTTTGTACTGTTTGCTTCAAATCACCTGTAACATTTCAACATGATTCAAATGTGGAATTTCTATCTTGCCTAAGCTGCAACAATTCTTCTTCCTGAGGCAGTCCTTAGTGACTTTGCCAGTGTGCTTGGGCTCATCATGTTCACGGCATTTAGACAGAGGCTCAGATTTGCTTTAATCAGCCTCGAACATCAAAGTACTAAACAGGCCCGGCCTTGCTTAGCTTCCAATCAGTTTCGATCAAGTGTGCTTGGTGCAAACTTTTTTGATTCTCAGTGGGCAGCACCTGTAATGTCACGTGACAACACAGCCATCTTGGGTTTGAATCCACTGGCCAGCTAGGCTGTGTGGGGTTTGCATGTTCTCCCTGTGTTTGTGTGGATTTTCTCCGGGTTCCTCCCACAGATATGCAGTTGGTGAGTGTAAATTGGCCGGTATGAGTGTGAATGCTAGTGTGATTGGTTGTTTGTTCCTTTGTATTAACCCTGAAACAGACTGGCAACCAGTCCAGGGTGCACCTTACTTCTCAGTCTTTGACAGCAGGTATAGTTCCAACCCCCTCTGACCTTGAATTGGATAATCAGAAGAGAATGGATGGATGGTGTGTGCAAGAAGACAGGAACCAGAAGCAAAAACTCCAAACCATAACATTTCCAGCACCCTCTTTCAACTTTCTCTCCAGAGCAAGTTGTTGCAAAAGGCCTGATTTTTGTCCTTATATTCATTGGACTTCAAATTGGGGTTTACTCGCATCTATGCCATTTGTACATGAGTTTCCTTATAGTCATGTGATTTATTTCAAAGAATCTCCTATACTCTTATACTCATGCTCACTTTCAAGGACAAAGAGAAAACCAGAGCCGACATGTCAGAGGTTTACAAAACAAAGGTTTCACCTGTGACTTCCTAAAGAGAAACCAATTACTGGCAACTCATCTGGAAATACTGGGTCATATTCATTTTTTCACATTTTAGGTGTGATTAATGCAGAGGTGTATTTACTGAAGGTGTTTTTCATTTAAATCATGAGCATGACAACAAAATTGTGTTTTTATATTAGGCACTTTTTAAAGAGATCCAAATTCTTGCTTCCTAAATTCTGTCAAAAAGCCAACAGGTTCAGTGGTTGCACTTACTTTTTGCATGACTGTATCTGCAATCTGCAATCTTTCTGTGTGTTAATGCTAAAATACGAGGTGTTTTCTCATCTTGAACAAATATCTTGTATTTGACATGATCATTGCAATATGTGCCCCATGTCAGGCTTATTGTATTCTAATCACAGGAGACGTAGTGCTCAGTGTAGTAGTGTGTATCTAAGTCCTGCTTCTCCTTTCAGGTCAATCTGAAAATGAGGCTCCGCATCTCTTACACCAGCCAAGGATCAGCTGTTCAGGATACGGTCCAGATCGACTCCTTCCCTGGACTCGGTCAGTGATCTCAGCCAATCGATGCAACAGGACTGAGACACCAGTCTGTGGGTGAATCAGCGGGCGTCGGTTCTCTCTGACGCAGCCTTTCTACTGACGCACCCTACACACTGCTGGTCCTCGGTTACCCTGATCTCTTGTTTCTACGTGTAAGAAACACGGTTCTCTCAGAAGCCTCGTGTATGGAGTTGCATCTGTCCATTCCTCAGGAATAGATCGAGGAGATTATTGGAGTGGACACTGGAATATGCAGGTACAAAATGGAAAAACATAAAATACTTTTTTTTAAAAGAGTGTTGCATCGACAACTGTCTATTAGATATCATTCAGGGTTTTTGTTTACAAGCTGCTACAGCTGATTGTATTCAGTGTTTCACTCCACAGTAATATAAACTTTGAGGGGCTTCTGTCAGTCATCCACCAGATCAACACACACACATAGCAGTTTATGCATGCTTTTAATAAATTTGTCTTTACACTGATTGAGAGGAGGCAAACACTAATTAATGAGCTACTACAACTAATTTATTATATCAGATACACATCATTTTATTAGGAAACACAAATATATGAAATTTGGATCAAAGGAAGCTTTTAAACACAAACTTGAGTCCTTCATCTTTTTTTTCCCCTTTTATTCACCTGATCAGCAATATCCATGTCCTGAACCATTCCTGTGCCTTTCATCCTCTCTTAAAATGTAATATTTAGCTTTTGAGGCCAAGATTATTTAACTCTGAGTTGTGTTTTGTTTTTTTAATCACTCCCATACAAGAATTTTCCTTAATGCTATTCTTTGTCTGTTGTTTACCAAAATGAGTTATTTTCTGATGTAAGTGTATGGTGACGCAAGAGGAAAAACGTGCATGATGCTGTCCGGAAAATGTATATTTTAGATATTCAAAGTATAAGCACAAGAGTTTTATGACTGTAAACAAAGCCAGCATATGACTTTATTTGATAACTCATCTTAACCCCTTTTAAAACCACTCCGCGTACTGGATGTCAGCAACGGTGCTCTACATGGATTTCACTGGAGTCTTTACCAGACTGTTTGTATCACTACCTTAACTAAATTATAGACAGAAGGAATCATTTGACAGCAGTTTGGATTGTCTTTCAATCTTCAATTTCATGTCATTTTCTAATTAAAAACTGTTTCCAGAATCCTCAGCTGTGACTTGATTTCAGTGTGTGTGTGTGTGTGTGTATATGTGTATATATATCAGAGGACAACACTTGGATCAACTTCATCATTTATTCACAAGCAAAAAGACCACAGTGTTGTCAAACTGTCTCTTCATGGGTGCCTGCATTAACTGGTCAAACTCAGAAAGCCAGTGTGGGATTTCAAAAACAAGTACAAAGGAATTAGAACGTCCTTTTTTCTTTTTAATGTTTCCAGTTGATTTTTGTTTTGTTTTGTTTTCTCGTTTCCGTCGGCCTGGAAACGGAGGATTTCAGATTTCTGTGTTGTAACATGGTTAGACGATGACAGACACCTAAAGCGTTGGCACTCGGCCGGCTTCCCATGATGACAGCGACTCATGACGTGGAGGACAGGGGTAAGCAGCAACTGTGGTTTGTTGATCCTCCTCTTAGCGCCAACACAAGATGGAGCACTGAGCCTCCCTGGATCTTGTAGTCTGCTGCTGTCTTCTCATCATTCCTGAGGTTCACAAGACAACACAGGAGATGATTAGAAAACACCTGGAGATCATATGCAGATAGCTGCAGAGCAAAATGCCTCACATCTGTTTTCCACTGTAGATGAGTCTCTGTTGCTGCGGTGGGATCCCTTCCTTCTCTTCCACTCTTTCTTTAATCCGCTCCACCTTGATTTGAGCAAAAACAAGAGATTAAGCTACAAAATCTCGCAGCTGCATTTAACAAGGACTATTTATCATAAGATGTTACCTTATCTGTGGGCTCTATGTCAATCTCTATTTCTTTTCCAGTGAGAGTCTGAAACATAACAAAACGATTATAGAAACACTGAACTTTCACAATCCTAAATGGTTAAGAAGAAGGAGGAATTCACCAAGGATTTTCTCTGGGCTCGAGGCAAGCTGCCAGGGAATTTCAGCTACTATACTATTGTACATAAACACTGCCACACAGCTAATTACGGTTAAAATAAATGTTTTGGGACTTTTTTGGAAATTTTTGATCCAAAATTTGATGTAATTTTGCCAGATGATTTGAACTCTGGATCTGCACACAGCGGTTTCGAAAAGGATGCCCGTGTTGGTTAATGGAAAAACTGATTATTTTCACTACTAGCCAAGTCGCCATGTCTCTGTTTATAGACTCTGTTAAACTTTAGAAACACATCAACATTTCGGTCGCAATGAAGTCTCGTGTCATCGGTAGTGTAAACCCTAAACCTTTTTTGCCCTTTTTGCTTTGTCACAACTATAAACTCTTCACTGGTTGTAGTACAGCACGGGCTAACCTGTTTTCAGTCACCAAAACTAGATGTTAGCAACGACTAGTGTTAGCAAACGTCAAACAATAGCAACTCAGTGAAGAAAAAGCAGTTTCGCTTGAATGATCGGGTGCTTAACGCTGATCTGTTTCACAGCATGTCGGGTGTAAGTTGGGTTTTCTGTTGCCCCAGGCCCTGAAATAAATGAGTGAACCGGCTCTGTGATATTAGCGGGATATCGAGAAACAGTGACCGGACTAAACACCACCGATGGAGCCCGAGCTAGAATCAAAGAAAATAATGTTCTTACCTTGACTTTGATCAACATGCTGAATGAAGAAAATAATACTAACAAATTTTATGAACAGCTTGGTGAACTAAACAGCAAATTGCCGAATAACAACCTACTTCTTCTGCTAACCGGACTTTACTTCCTGTGTCACGGGCTAACATTCCGGACATGACGCCGTCACAACACACCAGCATTTTTGTTCCTCTCTGACGTATTAACTTCTAAATACAAGATCATCTCCGGCAATCCGGCAAGTTATTTCAATATATCTGTTATTTCAATACATCTATTTCTAAAGTCGCAGGCAGATTTCATGTGAACAAAAGAATGTACTTTTGTACATTTTGAATTATACCCCATATGTACAAAAGTTTTGGTAAGTAAAATCATGGCAGCTAAACCAGAATCAGAATACTTTATTTTTTGTTACAGTGCTCCATTATAAACATATATATATATATATATATATATACACATACATACATACATAAAGTCACTTATTAATAAATAGCTGAAAAAGAAACGTGTAGCTGTAGCAGTAAACAGTGTGTT